CCATAAGATGCTTGATCTAAGCTACCAAATGACGCTAAGTTGAAGAATGCATTATTTTCTTTTCAAATAGTAGTGACGTAATGGTCCTAAAAAATAGTTTTTTAAAAGAGGGACTATCCCTTGGTCTCTACCCTAAAAAATAGTAATGATGTAATAGTTTGTCACTCTGTGTATCTTAAGATGCATACAACCATCAACACAGAACTTTATTAGCTTGTCACTGCGCGTCTTCTCAAAGTCAAAATTGCCGCTTGCATGGAAGGCCTTGCCTTTCGCTCGAATGGTGTACCTCCTAGATCTACATCGAGTCTGATTGCATGGAGTTAGTCAATATGGTGAAGTGTACCGGAAGATATCACTCTGCTTATGCTAGGTCGATTAGTGAGATAGAGCACTTGATGTTTTTGGTGGTTTCCAAAACACTGAAGTGATTGTATGGAAGGTTTGCCTGCATCGCTTGTACCATAGTTTTCTGGCTCCACTCTAGATGAGGTGATGTTGAGAAGTTGTGTCGAGCGGATTGTAATCTGAATACTGAGTAATACAATCACATTTTATGCAAAACAAAAAGCCAAGCCTGTCATGCTCACCCTTCTCTTAATTATAAATGAGTTCGGATGTGATCAAGAAATAGATGGGTACGACTAGGACTAATTCGTAGTGCCAACCCGTGTCATTTTTTTTTCTGCATTAATCGAGATCTTCCCTCGAGACTCGAGAGACGTCAAAACATCGGCTAATCTCGATCAGTGCTACAAACCAGCCCCACGACCATGTGACAACATGTGCTAGTGCCTTGGATCCACCTTCGGTTAATGTGAACAGACGATCCATCGATCGACACATCAAAGCAAGGTGAGTTCTTTAATTGAGATCTCGATCGATTCCCCAAGTCTAGTGAAGTTGTCTGTATCACGTTTGTTCCTGCAGGCTCCCTTAATTACCGGGTCTTCTCAAAGCTAGGTCCAGTTTCACATTTAATTAATGATGATTAGCCAGTTGATCGAGAGCTGGCTGATAGCTTGTATCGACATATGGTCGATCTGGTTGTTGTCCAAACGAAGGTGTGTACAACAGTGGATGCACATCAGGCTTTTTCCAAAATGAAGACCCATGAGATGGTAATTAGAGAATAGACTTCCGCCCTGGTTCATAGACGGGTAACTAGCTAGTGCACAAAAATAATCAGGTTTATACTCCCAAATACAGTATATATCCTTCCTACACCTCAAACAGCAGTTAAGATGGATCCCTAAATCATAATTATGCGATGTTGTACAATGCCTTATCATATTCAGTTCTTGCTTTAACGAATCTATAACAGCTAAACACAAAAGTCAACTAAATTTGGTGATGGTAACGTTCGGCATTGGCCAATGGCCATCTCATCTTCCTGGTAGCAAATTAATTCAAATAAAGTAGTCTGTTAAGTTACTTAGTTGACTTTCAATTGTAAATCCATGATTTAGCAAATTGGATTACGATCGACACTTCATCGATCGTCTATTCAAGTAAATGAGTTTCTTAATATATAATGATGTTCTATTTCATCACCTTGAGCATCTCAAGGTGCATACGCCATACGGCCACCAACACGACTGCTAGTTAGCCTGTCATTGCTCTTCCTTCTCCTAAGTATATACTACTAGTATGTGTTTTTGGTTTGCCTTGAAAGACGAGGGAGATGAAGCTGTGATATGCCATGAGAAACGTCCAATAATCTCGATCAGAGTACAAAGCAACCCCATGTGGGCATGTGACAACAGGTGCAAGTGGCCAAGATCGACGCTCGGTTAACGTGAACAGAGTGTCCATCGATCGGCTCATCAATTAAAGCAATGAGTTTCTTAATTAGGTTCTCGATCGATTCCTCAAGACTGTCAAGTTGAGCCAAGTTGTCTGTGTCACGTCCGCAAGTCTTCTCAAAGCTGAGGTATTCTCAAAGCTAAGGTCTTGCTTAACAGTTAAGTAATGTTTAGCCAGTTGATCAAGAGCTGGCTGACAGCTCATATCGAAATATGATCTGAAATGGTTGTTGTCCAAACAAATGGTGTCATCTTCCCTCTCCCTTAGGAGGTTACGCTCTCTTCATTTGTGAAGCCATGACCGTTCAATCCGCACTAATTACTTGCAAAGCTATTTGTTTACTAGTATGTACTCCCTCCGTTCCAAAATAGATGACCCAACTTTATACTAAAGTTAGTATAAAGTTGAGTCATCTATTTTGGAACGGAGGGAGTATTTATGAAGTAAACATAAAACATGGTTGCTCATTGGATCATGCGGTACATGAAGTCATGTCAATCCAGTGACCTATATTGCTTCATCGTTGATCGTCCAACATATTTAACGTGTAACCAATATCCTACCTAATATCAAAAGGTGGCTCTGATCAATAGTAATGCTAAGTTTGACAAGTGCATTGTTTTCTTTTCCACCAACACGTACGTCTATTAGTTAGCATGTCACTAGCTCACTGCTCACCCTTCTCTTATGTATATATGTATTTTTGGTTTCAATAAATTTGCTATCAGTATGTCCATGTCGAGAATTTAGAATTGATTGCTTTGGATGTGATCGAGATCTAGATCGGTACACACGACTTGGACTAACTCTTAGCTACTATAGTTAACTAGTGCCAACCCGCGTCATTATTTTTTTGTACGCAGTCGAGATCTTTCCTCGAGAGACGAACACGACTGTGGTGTGCCATGGAAAACGTCCAATAATATCGACCGGTGCTACAAACCAAACCCATGACCATGTGACAATAGGTGCTAGTGGCCAAGATCCACGTTAGGTTAATGTGAACATAGTGTCTTTCGTCGGCTCATCAAAGCAATGAGTTCTTTAGTCAGGACCTCGATCGATTCCTCAAGTGTAGCCAAGTTGGCCTACAGGCTCCCTTAATTAAATTTGTATTATTGTTAGTTATACTACCTCCGTTTCAGTTTATAAGTCCTACGCGTATAACTAGGTTGTCAATTTGATGACCTTAATATAAACTATATAACACAAAAATTATATCTTTTGAAAATAGAAGATCTAAAGTTTATATTGGTATACTTTTTGAAATATATGACTTGTATTAGGTTGGTCAAATTGACGACCTAGGGATACGCGCACGCCCTGTAAACTGAGAGAGAGGTAGTAAGTACTCCCTCCGTTCCAAAATAGATGACCCAACTTTATACTAACTTTAATATAAAGTTGGGTAATCTATTTTAGAACGGAGGGAGTAGTAGCTAACTGGGTTTCCCGCCCGACCCTTAATTCATTAGTAGGAACGCATCCGTCCCAAAGTCATCTCAAAGCTAGGTCTTGTTTAACAGTTAATTAATGATGAGTGGTTAGTTGGCCTGCAATGGTTTTTTTCCAAACAAAGGCGAGTCATCTTTCCTCTCCTTTGGTGGTTACGCTTTCTTTCATTTGTGAAACCATGTCTGTTCCATCTGCACTAATTACCTGATAGGCTATTGTTTACTAGTATGTATTCATGAAGCAAAACAAAGTCTACTTTGATGATGCCTCTTAGCTTAATTTGAGAATGAACCATCACCCTCAGATCGAGCTGGATAATACTTTCTTCGTCTTAAAATAAGTGTCTTAACTTTGTACTAACTCTAGTTAGCAACTCAAATCTCCAGTATAGACATATGACCGGTGGGCCATTGTGTTTTGAGTTGTTCAAGCCGGCTTCGTTCTTATCCATCTAATCACATTCAGTGAATTGACAAGGTTTAATTAAGTCCGTCGATTTGTGATGTGTTGTCTGGTTAGCAAAGCTACTGGACAAATCAGTTACTAGTTAACGCAACTGCTGCGAAGGACTTAACTCGTCTAGGTTTGCAAGTATGTTCGAATATATATGTTAATAATTAGGTAAGCCAGCTAGTTAGTGCCAGATGCAATGGCCTTTGCTTGAGATCTGGCAGCTAGGTCCAATTTATTGCCTTGGGCGGGCAGGGAAGCAGGAATTAAGATTTATTTGCGCATGAAGCTGGTCAAACAATGGTTAAGTTATGTCGCAGGCAGCGTCTTCTATACTTTTAGAATTAAGGGTTTCGTGACAGAGTTCCATGAATGGCACACTAAAGCCTCGTAGCAAGTAAGACAATAATTTAAAATACCAGCTTTCGACACTAGCAGAGGAAATTGTCTTCGAGGAGCCAGCACCAACAAGCTGTGTTATCAGTTTCATTTCGAATGAAATAAAATTGGGAGCTCTGCTCCTTAATTTGAACTTTTTTTTTGCAGATATCATCTTCTGTGTTGCTTTTGCACATGGCAATGGCAGGAGAACATCAATTATTGGTGTAACCAGTTTGCAGCCAGGTCTAGTTTAGCGTTTAGCATGATTGACATGATTTCTAATGGGTGAGTGCAGCCATTGACAAAACTAACTCACAGAACCCATAAAATTCATAGAAAAAATATTCATCAATAATTAAATTATGAAAAAAGGATGCAAATTAGGTAGTAATAGACCCATTTTTTATGTGAAACATCAATGTTTACTGAAAAGCTCAATAAACACAAAAAAAAGTTAGAAAACTATTTGTCCGACCAAAAGTAATATTTTTTATGGATGCTTATTAATGATCCTACTTTTGATAAAATACAATTATTTACTTAAATATGTGGCAAGAACTATCTCTGACGATGTGTAAATAAAATTTATACATGCATTCGACCTCGGATAATATAGCATGTTTTAGTGTACATTGGTATTTCATGGAAAATAAGTTCATTAAGCACTAACAACCATCATATACTCGACCTGTTTCATAAAAAAAAATCATATACTTGACCTGACCGAGGCCCCATATGTACCCGTTTCCCGGATTTTACTGTTAGTACTGTTCTACTTACTACATGTTGACAGTGGGCTTCCCTGACTATAAAGGCAAGTCCAGCCCGGGTGAGAGGAGCATTGCCATTTGCGCTCTTCCTCTTCCAACAAACCAACCAACCATACTTCTCTTGAAGCTCCGTCCAGGATGGAGAGTGTGGCACAGTCCATCGTGAGCAAGTTCGGGCAGGTGATAGTTGAAGAGCTCAAGGAGATCCGCGGCCTGGGCGACAAGGTCGTCCACCTACGGGACGAGCTGGCGACCATGAACGCCGTCCTCCGCGTCATCTCGGAGGCAGACCAGGACTATGTCGACCACATAGTCCGGGAGTGGGAGAATCAAGTGCTCGACCTCGTCTACGATGCCGAGGACTGCACTGACACCTACTCGCTCCGCATCGTCCGCCCCATCCCGCCCCTCACACGGGATGACGTCGGCGGCACACCGCTCACCTTCTGGGCCAGATACTTGTTTGCCCGCGCCAAGCATTTTGCCAAATATCACTATGAGAAGCTTGTGCTGCAGCGCACTCTCGCTGCTGATATCAACACCCTCCTGGCCCGTACCACCATCGTCAGCGAACGCCGCGCTCGCTACGACATCAACAGTGTGGCGCTACCAAGATCTACCCACCGCAACCATTTCTTGGAGGCGTCTACCTATGCCTCCGCGAATGGCCTCCACCATGACGACGACCCAGATAAATTTGTCGGCATCACGGAACTGGCCAACACCCTGGCCTGGAAGATCAAGGCACCGGTACTTGACAGGGATGACCATATTAAGGCGTTGGTCCATGATGAGAATGACAAGAGTCTCAAGGTGTTCTCCATTGTGGGGTTCGGAGGGCTGGGGAAGACAACCCTGGCCATGGAGTTGTGTCAGCAATTGGACGTGGACTTCCCCTACCAGGCGCAGGTGTCCGTGTCACAAGGGTTCAATGTGGAGAAGGACATGAAGGGGCTGCTGGTACGAGTGCTCCAGCAGATCCTCAAGGCTAACCAAACCTACCAGGAAGAGGAGGCCCAAATCGACAAGATGAATGTGAAAGAGCTAGCTAGCAAGATCAAGGAGCTCCTCGATCACAAGAGGTATAGACTACCATCCCCAAATAAAATCTTGAACTCTGCTCAACATCATCTTTATAAATATAATACAATGGTGCAATCAAAATTAAATCTGATATCAACATCATCTTTATAAATATGACAAAGCCAGGGATCACCTTATCGAAGTAGTACTTATTTTACTAGTCTTGCGCACATGCGCACGCAGGCTAGCAACTATTACGAATACACATAAGCACTAAAAGGTTTTCCAGTTTTAGTGAACTTACCACTAGTGAGAAATTGCTATGTGACCACCATACTATTTACGTGTATGTATGTTGCTTACTTCATACATTGCTTATCATAGAAGTTTGGAGAGAAATCACCAAAAAGGATGAAAAATATAATAACATATGAGTACACTATTGCAACGCGTGGACAAAAATCTTAGCTGCCATTTGCAGAGAAACCAAAATCCTTTTTTTTTGAGAAAAAGAATCAAACTCCTTAGTTTGCTGTAAATGTTGTTGGTATTTCTATTTGGAACTATTTCTAATTCCATTTTAGCTATATGTAAGTTTTATTTTAATTTGGGTCAGTCAATTTTCTCTCCATTGAGTCTTTTGTTAAGATCTGTTCTGTCTTTTTTCCCCTTGTGTTGTTTCACGACGGCTTGGGCTGAGTTTTTCGCCTTCCCCCTGTTTGGGGTCAGTCGATTTTCTTATTGGGATTGAAGCCTGTGACCCGTTGCCTTTTCCCCCCACATGTTTTATGCTTTTTTTTCTTCTTCTTTTTTAGTCTTTTTATGGGTATTTTTGGATGTTGGGTGAGTGTAAATGTACACGCGTAAGTACTATACAATATGTGTGTAGAGTACAATTTCTGTGCAAATTGTGTGCAAGTTTTTGTATTTTGTTATTTTATTTTATTTCTTCCTTAAGGGTAATACCAATGTCACTAATTCATTCTTTCTTAGAAAATGTCATTTTTTAGTTTTGTGTGTGTAAGTATACACACAAGTACTATACAATATGTATGTAAATTATACTAGAGTGCGAAATTTTTACTATTATATGTTTATTCTTGTAAATTATAAAAAGTGCAATTTTCTATGTAAATTGTGAGCAAGTTTTTGTTTTAAGTTTTTTTTCATTTATTTCTTCTTTATGGGTAATACCAATGCCACTAATTATTCATTTTTAGAAAATGACATTTTTTTATTTTTGTGTGTGTAAGTATACACGCAAGTACTATGTAATACGTGTGTAAATTATACTAGAGTGCGAAAATTGCACTATTATATGCTTATTCTTTGCATATTACAAAAAGTGCAATTTCGGTGCAAAGTTGTGTGCAAGTTTTTTTTTCTTTCTTCTTAAAGGGTAACACAAATGCCATTAATTCATTCTTCCTTAGAAAACTTCATTTTTATTGTTTTGTTTTATTTTTTTATTTTGTTTCTTCTCTAAGGGTAATACCAATGCCACCAATTCATTCTTTCTTAGAGAAACATCATTTTTTATTTATAAGTCTAAATTATACTAGAGTGAGAAAATTGCACTATTATATTCTTATTCTTTGCATATTACAAAAAAAATGTGATTTCAGTGCAAAGTTGTTTGCAATTTTTTTTCATTTTCTTTCTTATTAAAAGGTAATACCAATGACACTAATTCATTCTTCCTTAGAAAGCTTTATTTTTTTCTTTTTTGTTAGTTTTTATTTCATTTTATTTTCTTCTTCAAGGATAACACCAATGCCAAAGCTCAAGTATTATTTTGTTTTATTTTTTATTTTTTGAGAGGTTTATTTCATTTTATTTCTTCTTTAAGGGTTAGCGGGTATACTTTTGGCCTCAACCCAAGTACTGTTTTGTGGGCTTCTCTTCGTTTTGTGAGGATAGGCCTGAGTTGGGTTGCTGCTGAAAAATCAACTTGCACAAAATTTGGGTCAGACAATTTTCTTTGTACATGAATGTTCTCTGTCTGTTTGATCGGGAATCAGTGGTAAATCCAAAAATGACTAATCAAAAATTCTAAATTCAGGCGACTGTTCCATAGCCGGTCCCTTCTAATTCTATTTTTGCATGTATACAAAATTTCTAACTCTAAGCATGTATGTGTCAAATTAAACCAGGTGTCTCATTGTGGTCGATGATGTATGGAGCCTACCAGCCTGGGAAGCTATCAGCAGCAAATTGCCAGAAAAAAATTGCGGTAGCAGAATCATTGTGACGACCAGGATAGAGGCGGTGGCCAAGGCGGCTAGTGGCTACTTTGTCCATCATATGAAGCCCCTGAAACCAAAGGCTAGTAAGGAATTGTTCATGAAAAGAGTATTTGGCTCCACAGAGAAGGGTACTTGCCCCATGGAACTTAAAGTTTTCATGGACATGATTTTGGATAAATGTGGTGGATATCCGTCCACCATCATTGGAATCGCCAGCCTTCTAGCAAGCTATTGCTCGGCGAAGAACATATATATGTGGGAAAGAATTTCTATATCATTTCTTTCTCATACGGGGATTACCTTCGAGGGGATGAGGCAGCTGACTGAATTCAGCTATGACAACCTGCCTCGTCATCTCAAGGCTTGCATGATGTATCTATGCATTTTCCCGGAGGATTATGTGGTTGCCAAGGATAGGCTGCTATACAAATGGATTGCTGAAGGATTGGTCACTGAGAGGAGGGGGCTGACATTATGGGAGGTCGCAGAAGAATACTTCAACGACCTGATAGGTAGGGACATGATTCAGCTAGAAAAGATTGTGTCCAGGGTAGGGCCTTATGGTGAAAGAGTGGAGATAGAGGGGTGTAGGGCGCATGGCATTGTCCTTGAGGTCATGGTGTCAAAATCCAAGCAGTCTAACTTTGTTACCTTGGTAGGGCAGCAATACAGAGGAACGCCACATGGACATGACAAGGTTCGTCGCCTCTCCATCCATGATAATGACCAGGGCCTCCAGAAAGTTGAGGCGATGAAACTACAACATACCCGGTCATTGACCACATTTCAGCATGCTGATGGCCTTGGCAAGCTGCTCGATCGTCTAGGAGAGTTCAAGTTGCTAAGGGTACTTGATCTGGAAGATTGCAAATCCCTGCAAAACAAGCACATGAGAGATGTATGCAGTCTGTATCTTCTCAGGTTCTTGAGCTTGAGGGGTACAAATGTCTCAGAGATGCCTCGCAAAGTTTGCAATCTAGAGCACTTGGAGACTCTTGACATAAAGAACACGCACATCGGGGGGACGCTGCCACAAACTGTGACAAAGCTGAGCAAACTAGAGCGCCTATGGTCCAACTGCTGGCTTCTGCCACGGGGGATAGGGAACATGAAGGCACTGCGCGAGGTGGACACTGGAGGTCTCACAGGCAACGACATTATGGTTGCCCAAGAGATTGGTAAGCTGACACAGTTGCAGGTGCTAAGTATCCGAATCGATGACCATGTCGATAAGGATTTTTTGTGTGCACTTGCCTCCTCCCTCAGCAATACATGGAGTCTCCAATCGCTCAATCTGGAAAACCGGGGGGGCAGTTGGGAGTTTCTCCTTGGCGTCTCCATGGTGCTGCCACTCCTCCGGTGCCTTAGTTTGTATGGAAACATTAGCCAACTGCCCGACTGGATCTCATCACTCACACTCCTCAGGAAAATTGAAGTGGGACGGACAGAACTTGCTGGTGACCAGTTATTTGGTGTCTTGTGTAAGCTGCCCAACCTGCAGAGCATCCAACTGGTGTATATTAAGTGGGAACATGGAGAACTGGTCGCACGCCCTGAACACAGCTTCCCGGTGCTGAGGATCTTGGAGGTGCTTGGATGTCCCACCGTGCTCACATTCGAGAAAGGATCAATGACAAAGCTCGAGACGCTTGTATTGCGGTTTGTTGCCACGGAGACGAGGATTGTTGGGCTCGAGAACTTGGAGAAACTTAAAGAGGTCAAGCTTAGTGGTTGGAAAGGCAACCCGGCAATGAAACGTGCAGTGGAGCAGCTCAAGGCTCTCTCCACTGAGTCCAATCCGATCAAAGTTGTAGTGGACTGGAGCTGAGGTGCTCGATCGTCTTGGGAACTGCTGCTCCTGTACGTTTT